AAATATTACTTTTCTTTAATTGTGAGAATATCAGTGTGTGAAAATTGCCATGTGTAAACTTAAGAGTTGTTATAGCTTTCTAAAAAGCAAGCTTGCCTTTCCAACTGCCATTCAGCAAGTATTGTTTCCCCTTTTACACATTCCCATTAAGCTCTCAGCACAGTATTAGACTCATATAATATCTAAATGTGGTTCAGAACTGGTTCTTAAGGGTAGATGTAAATGGAAGTCTTATAATTCTATGAGATTATGATGGTTAAATTTACTGTTAAGATGCCGTTCTCTGAGCTATTACCCTGAGACTGGCATTTTCTCTGTATTTACCCGGTTTGTGTTGAATGAGCAAACATCAAGATTGTTGGCTTAATGCCAAGGCTTGGCAAACAATTATTCCCTTGTTTGTGGGCTTATTTATTTATTTCTGGTTGGTCTCTGCAAGAATCTGTCATATCAAGTCCATAAAGGGATGCCTGAAATATGCTTGCTCTCTGCACTTTAAGACAACTCCATTAATTCACGGCTAGTGTTATTGCAAGTATTCGCACGTAGATTGCAAAAAATCTTGATTATGCAAATATGTTGTGTGTTTCTTAATGACAATATTCTGGGACGATTTTTCTTTACTAATAGTAGTATTCTTTATCACATAAGTGTTTATAGACAGATTCAAGAGCTTTTTAAATGTGCTAGGTACTGTTACTGAGGCAACCTGACCCAGCGGACTCTGAAGATAAAAACTTCAGAGGCCCCTCACATCTGAGCTACTCAATGTGTATATGAAGGAGAGGACTGTTTTCCAGAAACACATATGGGTTGAAGTGTGTGACAAAGGGACGTGAAGAAGGAGAACAATACGGGGTTTTAAAATTAGGTCTTTAAATTCAAGATGACCCTTGAAAAGCCATCTCGTTTCTCACAATCTGGTGCCCTCTTTTTCCAGAAGCTACAATGCTCCCTGCACCACGTCTGAGGAAGCAGAAGAGCAGCACAGTGAGGTTTTGTTCCCCACTCCACAGCCCTCCTGTTGAACAGGGCGCTGCAGCGAAGCAGGGGAGGGTTGAAGCAGCTGAACGAAGCCACTTAAAATGTTTCACAGGCCTAGGAGTTCAGTTAGTTAATGAGATAAACTCCCCTGTGTGACTGCTACTCCTTTGGAGGGTTTTTTTTTGCCTTTCTGGAAGCCGTGCAAACTCTTTCAGCCCATTAGGATTCCACAGTTATTTAATACCCTGGTGGGAATTATTTTATCATTTGAAATCAGAGATCAGCAAATATTTTTTTGTAAAAGGCTACGTAATAAATATTTTTGGCTCTGCGGGTCATATGGTTTCTGTCTCAGCTGCTCAATTCTGCTCTTGTATCACAAAAGCAGTTATGGATAATGTGTAAACAAGCAAGAGTCCGTGTTCCAATAAAACTTTATTTTTAAACACTGAGATGTGAATTTCAAATCATTTTCATGAATTGCTAAATAATGTTCTTTTTCACTTTTGTTCAACCATTTAAAAATCTGATATCCATTCTTAACTCATATGTTAGATAAAGACAGACGGTGGGCTGGATTTGGCCCTAGGGTCATAGTTTTCCAACCCTTGCTTTAAGCGAATAATTGATAAAAATAAAAACACCGACATAGCCATCACCTTCCCTCATTTATCTAAAGGTTAGCAAGCATGAAAAATGTCAGCTATTACTGTAATAATTAGTCAGTTGAGACATGTCTGGGAACAAAGGTTCGTATATAATATTTCTATTCATAGGAAGAATGCTAGTAAACTCAGCGGATTTGAGGTTGGGTTCAGAACTGATTTCTTTGTGTGACTTACCATTTCCTAGAAAAGCTTGGGGTCTAAAAGGACCCTGCCCTGATGTGCTAATGCTGTCAGTGCTGCTAGGAGACTTCTCAGCATTCTGGTTTACCCACCATCCAGGAAAGTGTAACTCTCAGAACAGAGAAAAGAGGGGAAAAGTGACTCCAGAGCTTGGGTAATGGCAAGAAAGGGCTTTCTTTTCTTCTTCACCCTGACCCACTAACTCATAAAGATCCCTTCTCCACCAGGGTGGAGGGACAGGAAACAAGGCTCCCAATTGTAATTTTACACATCAAGGTGCTTCCTAGACTGGGAATACCTGGTAACATGAAGTCAGTTTCTTTTCCTCTATACTTGGTTGTCTAATAGACTTTATTTTAATTCTTCCCCAGCATCTTCTTCCTCACTTCTTTCTCCTTCCTTCCACATTTCCTTTTTCTTTCCTGCTTTTTCAAGTAATGATTTAATATTCACATATGTTCTATGCCCTTTCTACTCCAAGTGTGATCCTCCACCAACAGTGATGGGAGCTTCTTGGAAATGTGGTATTTGGGGCCCTGCCTCAAACCTATTGAATCAGAATCTGAATTTTAACAAGAACTCCACCAAGAGTATGCACATAAAAGTTTGAGAGTCACCTTTCTTCACAATATCCTTATCACTCTAGAGGAAAAAAGCTCAAGACAACCCTCAGACTTGAATAAACGTACTGGAGGGAAGCAGAGAATTAAGCTTCTCGAGATTATTCAAAACCGAAGAGAAAAATCAAGGATAGTAGTCAAACTTTAAAATGAGCAAGTGGTGGCCCAGTTTTGTTGAGAATCCGAGGGTTTTTCCCCCTAGCGGTCCTCAAGGTGGAAACAGGTTATGCAAGACCAGAGCTCTCTGGTTAAGGAACCAGAGCACAGAGCCTCCGTGCAATGTCCCAGCTCCAGTGTGGAGGGAGACATGGAAATGACACACTGTCATTCCGTGGTCAGAGGTAGGGGTGGCCAGGGGCCACTTCACTGCAGACAAAGGAGTGCAGAGAAGGGTAAACAGTAGAACTATTCTTTGGCATTCTGGAATATAAGGGAAAATGCAGTGATGTGATGGTGGATGTCTAATAACCAGCTTGGGGAGTGGGGGGAGAAAGCCTTGATTTGTAGCATTCATTGATTTTCATAGTGCATATATTTCCACCTTGTCTGATTTCAGACTACCAATGTGATGTCACAGAACATGGACTTGGGAAGAGATACCCAGTAGTGCATCATTACATGACAGTTCCATCATACAGATACAACGGATGTAAATAAACTCAAAAATACAATAATAGTATGTTATAATAAAATAATTAGGAACTGATGGGTTGTATTCGTTACCTTTGTTTTTAATAGAACTAGTTACATTGTAAGTTTACATAATCTAAATTTTAATAATGGCTGTGTTTAACAAGCAGGTCCAAATATTCCTGACAATCCACTTTCATAAGACAATATGAGCAGGCTAACCCATTCTTAGAAAAAGGCATTTTCATGACTTTGGACTGTGGTCATAGGATGCTTCGAAAGATATCTGCACAACATATTTGGGTATCACCCCATTCATTCACATGAATGTCCGAGCAAACCTCCGATTGCAGATTGCCTTAAAATGGTAAAAAAGTTATCTGCAGAATTTCACTCATCTATTCTACAGACTTTCGTTAAACTTTCTCAAGAACATTTTATAGGTATCTTCTGTGTTGGAGTATTCTAGTTGAGAATTTTCCAGTTTCCAGATGGAAAACTGCATGCAACTTATTGCACCATGAGTCAATACTTTCAGAGGTGTTCCCCAAATACCACTCAGCCTTGTTTTGACTATTTATTCACAAACTTTTAATGTGTGTTGCTCAATAATTATAATGCTTTGACTTGAGTTTCATCTTGTCTTTCTTATTCTTCACTTTTAGTAAAAGGAAAATTGACAGGCAACATCATCCAAGCAGTAAGGATGGAGAGTAAAATGAGTACAAATGCTATAAAGTAAATAATCAGCTTCTTATAACAGAGCCAACCATTAATTTCCTTAGAAGAATCCAACGGTTTTACGTTTCCAAGAATTCTTACTAGTGTTTTCCTGGTGTGTGGCTATGTGGAGGGACTGAGTCAGGTCACCAGGTCCCTCATCTCAGATCCCTCTTTAACTAGTTCGCCTTTCCCACCCCCTGTATCAATCCAAGTCACTCAATCTCTCTGAGCCTAAATTTGCAGTCTGTAAAATAAGGGGTTGGTCGATGATCTCTAAAATCCTTTTCAGATCCTTTTTTTTTTTTAAATTCTCAAAAATAAAAATTGATTGAAAATAGAAAAAGAAAAAAAAATCCAGAAAAGAACAACTTGATGCTCATTTGAGCAGTCCGCCTGGTCTGCCTTGTATGAAGGATTACACCGTTTTAATTTAATTCTCTGAAAGAAATATGCATATCCATGTCCTTTCCTAATAGCTCATAAAACGCATCTTCCATAAAAAAATGATTTTCACGACCCGTTTTGCAGCTGCTGAGCTGTTTATGATTCTAAGTGTCTGGATTTCTGTTTGTGTGACCGTCCCCTCCCGAGGCCGCCCTGTGACACTGCCGTCTGGCCACCCGTCCTCAAGAGCTGCTTCCGCCGACTGGACTCCTGCGTCGCCTTCCTCACAATCGCCTTCACAGTCTCCACGGAGTCTGAAGCACAAAAACCAACAATTCGAGTGTGCAGCCCAGGCACCGGGGTTGGGGGTGGAGGCGTGTCCTTTAGAAAGTAAGGGGGGGGGCGCGAAGCAGAGGTCCCCAAAAGATGCTTACGAAAACGGTACTTTAAAAATGAACTCGGCCAGCAGCAGGCCCTCCTCTCACTTTGCTCTGGAGAGGGCTGCAATTTGCATCCCAGTTGTGATTTAGACGGTCTACCAAGTTTCAGTTACGAAAGTCCCATAGCCTCTGGGTTCCCAGGTTCGCGTGATTCGGTTTATTGTGGCAACAGTTCCCGGCAACTGCCCAGGTGCAGATGTTGAGCGCCTGCCTTTGGAGCCTTTAAGTGCGGGAGGTGGGAGACGCGGAGGCGCTGGGGCGCAGGGATCACGGAGTGCAGGGCGCGGGGCGCTGGGGCTCAGGGGCGCTTCAGGGAGCCCGCGGGGGCGCACCGCAGAGCGGGGCCGGTGGAGGAGCGCCCAGAGCGCAGCATGGGCTGCGGACCTTCCCAGCCTGCGGAGGAGCAGAGATGCGTCCCCGCGCCCAGGAAGGGCTGGGAAGAGGGATTCAAGGTAAAACAAACAAAAAGGGCATAAAGACTGTTGCCACACTTGGGGGAGGCTGGAGTTGGCTGGAGGAGGGTCTGATGGGACTCACGGCAGTGGAGTGGGCGTGTTGGGAGCCGCTTTATTCAGCCAGTGTTTAACTGCTGTCTTATCCAACTGGGACTCCTGCTGCTATAGAACTAGCTTTGAGAGTCTTTTGTGTTTTAGGAGCTAGCGAAGGTGGTCACGCCCCAGGGCAGAGGCAGGAATAACTGGATGAGTTCTGCGATCTGCACAGAGCTGGGATTGGCAATGATTCTTAAGGTCTGGTGAGAGTACCTGGGAGCTGCCATGTATTATTGGCTTCCGGAAAGTGGGCCCTTTGGGAATTACTTAGTGCTGGAAGAGATCTTAGAAGCCATCTGGCTGAGTCCTCTCACTTCCCACATGAAGACCCTGAGGCCCAGAGAGGTGAAAAAGGACTTGTCTGAGTCTGCACAGCTTGTTTGAGGGCAGAGCTGGAGACAGAACCTAATCTTGAAAAGTCTCATTCCAATACTCTTTCCACTCTCCCTCAAGGTTGAATCCCCCTTAATTCTTCTGGAGGCACAAAGGAGAATTTTTCCCAGGGCAGGGCATGGAGGAATGGTCCAGAAAAAAATGAGGTCCATGATTTCTTCCCATCCTCATTATCATCAAGATTTCACAAGCAGAACAGGAACCCACAAGGGTTTCTTCAGGAATTGTTACCCAAAGATAATATTACCATGTAATTTATCATCAAAAGCAGGATACTTTTAAGAGAGGAAGAGAACACTATTAATAAATTTGCCCAGACAGCCTGATTTAAGCCCACACTGTCGCAGCAAACCAGGATTTATGGTCACTCTCACTAAAGAGCATTTTTGGAACTACAGTCTAAAGAGCACACACTTTATCTTAGCAGGCAGTGAGCAAGACACTATTCAGTGCCAATTACAGCACCTACTCTGTGTGAGGCACATCTGCTGGGCTCTTGAAGTCAAAAAAACAAACCAGGGTCTAGGAGAGGCTGAGACCCAGGCTTAGTACCTGCTGCCCTGGGAGAGGCCCGCAGAAAACATTTGCTTTACATCCCAACTGCCACTGTCTGCATTTAGGGCCCTATTTATTACCTTTTCCTGAGTCTTTCTGCCTCTTCCGTCACCACCCCAACTAGTCTTACCTCCCACACTGCTACCTCTCTTCCTAAGAAAATATTCCCTGGGGTGTGCAAAACTGTTGATTTTTGCTTCCACTAGTCTTTCTAATGTCATCCTCTCCTGTCCAGTCCCTTTCACTCATGAACCCTCAGATCTGCCATACCAAGAACCTGTAGTGCTTGCTTCCTCCAGGCATCATGGCACTGCATGTCTTTCCCGCCATTCCTTCTTCCAGGAGTGCCCTTCCCTGGCCCCATTCCCAGTTTGCCTGATGAATTCCTATCTATCCTTTGGTACTGAGCCCAAACACCACCTCTGTGATGCTCCCTTATCACATGGTAAATGTTTGTTTAAAGCTTCTTCTCCCTCTTAGACTCATGGGCTTCTTGGCAACAATTTGGTCATCTTTACTCATTATGGCTTTGGACTATATTCTTACATAAGGGAACACTTTTTACTCCATTGTGCCTTCCCTTTTTTGTACAAAAAGCTTTATTTTTTTTAAATTTTACTGGTGTGATTATGTATTATAAGACTTCTATAGAAGAAATTTTTACTATTTTTGTTTCTTTTCTGGCCATTGTCATTTGTTCCATGGTTACTACCAAAATAATTTTGTTGTGTAGAGCCAGAGAGAATGCTAAAAAAGCAAGCTCTACAGGTGTCAAATATACCAGGTTCCTCTGGGCCAAGCCTCCCCAAGGCCTAAGAGGGTTTCTGGGTTTCTTCCTGAATTTCAGGGGTGAGATAGTCCTTGCCTCTTGCATGGGCTCCAAACTGGTCTCCCTGGATCCTTCCTCCACGACCCACTCCCACCTGTCCTCCATCTTCAACTTTTCACATGACCTCCAGAGTGATCATTCTAAAATAAAATTGGATTATATCAACCTCTGCTGAAAAAGTTACCAGCCCATTAAGTCAGCACACCAACCAGTGATTAAGAAATTGACTACCTTGGTTGGACTTCTAGACTCACTACTGGTGATTTGGGTGGTTTTGGTCAAGTTACTTAACCTCCCTGTGCCTTAGTTTCCTTATCTCTAAAATGGGGGTGATTAATAATAGCAATTTTATAGAGTTGTTATGAGGATTAAGTAAACTCAATTCATGTAAACTCATATCAATGCCTGACACAGAATAAGTGCTTAATATTAGTTATTACTATTATTATTATTACACATATCTATGTAAGATCAAATCCTAAATTCTTATCATGTTTTCCTAAGCCATCCTCAAGTTGACTCCTGTCAAATTCTCTAGTTTCATCGCTCCCCCCATTCATATTCTAGTCACACCTTACTACTCGTTGTTCCCCAAACCCCTTCTATTTTTGTCTCCATGCCTCGCATCACTGTTTCCTCTCCTTGCAGACTTTCCCTTCTCCCTTTTCTTGGGCTGCATGCAAATATGTACCTGTTTTTGAAGTCAACTCAAGACCATTCTTTTCCTCTTCCCTGCCACCATGCTGGCAGAGTTGACCTTATGCTTTCTCCTATCACATTTCAAAACATTTTATTGTATTTATTTGTTCCCATGTTTGCCTCTCATTCCAAACTATTATGATCTTCTTGAGGACAGGACTATTTTTATCTTTGTACCTCTAGTGCTTATTACAGTGCCTGATGCAGACCAGGCACTAATGAATATTTCTTTAGTGACTGCATATCCCTCTCAGTTCTTCCCATCCCTTAGTGTCTGCCTATCTCCTCATAGTGTGACTAGACTAATGACGATCAGCAAGGAGAAAATTCAATATTAAAATAACCTGAAAATAGACTCAGAGTCGACTCACGCATATACCTCTTTTCCCACCCCAAACACTTGACTTTGAAAATCTGATCTGGGAAAGGTATGATTACTAATTAAACACTCTCTAGCTATCAGAGCAATACTGCTTTCGCTACCTTCATAAATTCGTCAGGCGGAGAGTTCAGTAGTTCAGCAGTGTCTTCAAAATTAGATGAACATGTTTGCTTGCAAGAAATATTCATGTTTCTTGGTGGCACAACTTTAAAATATTCTCAGTCAAACTTCTGGAGACCTGCCTGCAGACTTTCTCTTCACTTTACCTTAGTCTAAAGTGGCAAGAAGTCACTGCAATAAAATAATGCTAAGGAACAGTGGGAAACTTTTCTTCATTGGGGAAAATCTTCTGTATGATTAACTCAAAGTTTCTTGCTTGTTATAAAATGGGACAGGCTATATTGGAATAGGTGATCTCCAAAGATCCTTCACAGTATTCCCCTAATATTTGACAAGAAAATTCTTGTTTATTGTCCGTTAAAGAGAATGAATGCTTCTTAAAGTTTGATTTTTTAGAACCTATTTCTGACTTTTTTTTTTGAAGAGTTGCTATTTATTATTTCATTCATTAAAAGTAAACTAGAAAAAAAGATTAAATTTTGAAGAACAATTTTTTCCTATATGTCTGGAGACAAATGTATTTATAAAATGTTTCTGCCAATAATTTGAATTAAGAAGGTTTAAGCTCCAGGGAGTCTTAACAAATGACTTCTCCCAAGATGTTTGGAAGATTTGTTTTCCAAAAGCTTTAGAACACATATAATGCTTCCAGACCAAACCAAACAAAATTCTGTCCATAGTTAAAATCAATACCTTTTTTGGAATGCTGATGATGCCTATGTATAGCTAGCTGTTAGCTTGAAAATAATGGCTTTTTAATTTTGTCTAAAATTGATAAAATTTTATCACCAAGACAATGAAGTATAAATTAAAATTGATGCAAAATGTAGAAACATGTTCTACATTAGCTTCTGCTACAACTTCATCTCAAGGAAAAAAATTAAACCTTCTACCCATTTCCTCTCCCCCTCTCCCAGTACAATTACAGATACACTTCTTACTGGTGTGAAAAGATAAACTCTACATGCACAGACAGAACAAGAAAACTGTTTTGACATATCCCCAAGAGCCATAGATCTAATTAATTTGTATCTCTGGTCTTTGACTACGTCTGTGCCGAAGTCTAGATTATAAAATTGGATTAAAATTTCCAGAATGTGTTGCACATAGATAAGATATTTAAAAGACATCCTTAGTTTTCAAAAGAAGAAAAAAACCTTAAATTTCTATTCTGGAAACTGAAGGCTGGTGTGTGTTATTTCATGCTGCAAGATTATGTTTCATTTGCTATAATTTAAGTTTTGGTCACTAACAGAGCATTAAGGCAGATTGTATCTAAATAAGCAAAAATGGATAAGGCTCCTTGCTAAGGACCTGGATTAGTCACTCTGATAAAACAATTGGGAGGTCATTCAGGGTTGTGGCATTTAAATCTATTCAGACTTTCAGTTGACTGAAAAGATACCTTTTGGATCGAAAATATCCAAATTTGCTCTTAGCTCCAATATGGGTGTTTTGTTTATTGTTTTTGTTATTAAATCAGCAATATTAGTGCTTCACTGGGTTCAAAAAAAGTTAGATCTGCAAAACAAAATGAACTTGTGAAAATATCTATCACTGCAGATATTTGTTTTTGATAGTTTATTTGGCAAGAGTGTAAAGAATGCCCAGAACGATCTTTAAATTCAATATGAACTCTGAGCCTCTGAAAGATAAGTGTCAGATAGGTTCTTCTTTTCCTTCGTTATATGTAACAACAAAAACAAAACAAACATATATGTGTTACATGTAACAAAGAAAAAGAAGACCCTGTCTAACATAATGATTATTGTTGTATAATAATATAATAACGTATAATATGTTATCTGTAAAACTGAGAGGCAGTAAAACTGTGTTATGAAGAAAGACAGATGGAGAAAGAAAAAAGCACATAGTTGCTCTCAGGCTTTGTCTTGTGCTGACTCATATTTCAGATCGGTCGAGTTTTTGTTTCCTTACTTTGTTTATTCAGTCGTTTGGGGTTTTTTTCTATTTTCCCATGTAGTCCTGAGCCACAGAACTAATTAATCCTCAACACAATAAACTGATGTTGGTTTAGCTAAAGTGATCATGTTATGTAAACATGGCGGTGAGGTGCTATGTGAGTCTCCCGGTGGACATGGGAGAATCTCTCGCTCAACTGTAACAACCTGAGAGTGATGGGAGCCACCGTAATTTAGCTATTGTGATTTCTACTTAGCTTCTGAGAGACTTCAAAGGTTGAAGTGCTTCAAGAAATCTCACCTGGACAATAATAGTCATAACTGGCTGCCCTGTTCTGTGCCTTCCTTATTTCCTTCAATTCCTGCCATTGCATTAGCTCAAGAGTGATCTTTCTAAGAAACACACTCTATCATTTCATTTTACTTACATGTATTTTTTAATTAAATTAAATCTCTGTATTTTTGAAACTGCTTAATGCCATAAGTGAAATTAAATAGACAGAAAACTTCTTTTTCATTAAATTTGTAGGAGTGACAATGGTTAATAAAATTATATAGGTTTCAAGTGTACAATTCAGTAATACGTCATTTGAAAGTCCTATGAAGGACTACTGTTGCATTCAAAATAAAATCAAACTCCTTTTCTTGTCCCCACCTCAGCCCCTACTACTTTCTATCTCAATCTGTTTCTGCTACACTGGAATAATTCAAGTTCATAGACACACAATATTGTTTCATTTGTGTATGCTTTCTCCTCTGTCTAGAATGACCTTTCCTCCTTGTTCCCTGGAAACTCATTCATCAAGACCCAATTCAAACATCTTTTTAACATCTTTCACTACACTCAACAAGATACAAACTTGTATCAGTGTAACAGGGCTGTTTGACAAAGGGCAGGAGTTGGAAGGCAGAGTCCTGAGGCCCTTCTCGGGGGAGAGAAAGAACACTCATTGGGCCAAAAATGTAAACTCAATAAACATAAGAAGAATAGCTAGACTACAATATTTGGTAGAAGATGCTTATGTTCTTATTTCTTCTGGGACACTGAAGAGACTTCCTTTGGTTTGTGTTATCTTAAATAGAGAAGAGGTTGGCTCATGACATCTACTAGAAGCTTCCATTGAATGAGTAGTGGGACAGTTGTAAACCAAGCAATGAACGAAAGGCCAGCACTGGGGAAGAGGGGACATGGTAGTTACAGGAGGTATGAGAAAAGTTTTTCTGAACATATTAGTGTTTGAAATATATTTCCTCTCAAAATAAATGCCAGTTCTTTAAATCTAATTAATTTAGCTTCATGAAAAACTCACTACGTTTTTCCCATTTTTCTTCTTTTGTTGTAGAACTATGAAATATTTAACACTGACCAGCATTTTGGAGTTAGTGGTTACTAAATCACATACGGGCCCTTTTTTACACTGTTTTGATCTATTTACAAGCAGCAGAACTTTGGTATGAAGAAATAGACATCCTTAAAAGGAGAAATAGGACTGCAAGTCAGTGCAGGATTGATGGAGGGCCCTCTGGAAATACAAATTAATAGAAAATGTACCTTTAGTCCAGCATGTCCTTTAGTCCAGCATGTCCTCATCAAATTAATAGAAAATGTATCCTTTAGTCCAGCATGTCCTCATCTAGAAATTTATCCTCATGGGATGATTGGGTGAATTCAGACTGATGTATATACACAGATACTATGCCAGCACTGTTTATTATATTGACACGTTAGAAATAACCAAGATATCCTCCAGTATTTGGTTAAATAAATTGTGGTGTAGAGTACTGGAATGCAATCATCAAATAAATGACCACTCTCCACCATTAAATTATTTATTATTATGAGGCTGATTACTTTTTTAATCAGCAAAAACAATGAAGATGATTTCATCTAAAAAAAACTTTTTAAACAACGGCATTTTTACTTTTCACGTTTGATGATTATAAATTTGTTCATGTTGATATCCTTCCGAATGCTCAGCATAATAGCTTATACTTGATCATTCATAATAGATATTACAATTGACACTTGAAAAACATAGGAGGTTAAGGGATCCAATGCCCCTGCAGTCGAAAATCTGTTTAATTTTGACTCCCCAAAAACTTAGTTACAGTCATCCCTTAGTTTCCATGGGAGATTGGTTCCAGGACTTGTCCCCACCCCCACCCTCTCTCTCTCTCTCTCTCACACACACACACACACTCACACCCACACACACACACACACTGCACAGCAGATACTAAAACCTGAGGATGCTCAAGTCCCTTATACAAAATGGTGCAGAACAAAGCATATAGTTGGCCCTCTAAATCTGGAGATTCCCAACTGCAGATCAAAAATACTGTTTCAATTTATGGTTGATCGAATCCACAAATGTGAAATCTACAGATACAGAGGGCTAACTGTACTTATCGAAAAATTCGTGTGTAAGTGGCTCCATGCAGTTCAAGGGTTAACTGTATGTCGGTTTTCTATTGCTGTTATGATAAATTAACATAAATTTAGTGGCTTAAAATAACATCATTTTATTCTCTTACAGTTCTGGAGGTCAGAAGTATAAAATCAGTTCCACTGGGCTCAAGTCCAAATGTTAGCAGGGCTGGTTCCTTTCAGAGCCTCTGAAGAGAGAATCCTCTTCCTTGTCGTTGCCAGCTTCTAGAGCTGCATTCCTTACATTCCTTGGCTGGTGGACCTTGCATCATCTTCACTGCCAGAACTGTAGCATCTTTAAATGTGTCTCTGCTTCCATCATCGCATCACCTTCTCCTCCTTTGCAGTCAAATCTCCCCCTTCCTTTGTCTTATAAAGACACTCATGTTTACATTTAGGGCCCACCTGGACAATCCAGGATAATCTTGCCATCTCAAGGGCTTTAATTTAATCACATCTGCAAGGTCCCTTTTGTCATATAAGGTAACATCTACAGGTTGCTAGGTACTAGTCAGCTTCCCACAGATACTAGTTGGCTAAATATTCACAAAGTAGATCTTGTGACATGGTTTAAATTTTCTAAGAAATCATTTCCTAAGAAATCTGAACTCTCACAAAGCCATTCACTTCTCACAGGCTGATGTTGGTGTGACTTATTCTGAGGAGAATTGTAGCCCCCAGATTGGAGCTGCACTGCTCAAGGACACTGCGGGCAGCCCCAAAGGCCTGGATAAACAGGTGCTGTTGGAAAGCTTACCCGGAACCATTCCAGAAAGTTCCCCATCTCCTAATGGAAGAAACGGGAGAATTAATTCAGGTAAAAGCCCCCATTCATGTTGCTTTCCATAAAATACTGTTTCTCTAAATATATTTCACATGTGTTTGGTGACTCTTTAATCACAGATTTGTGGGCCAGGGTGTAGTCTAAATGGCCAGGTCCCTATCTCTAAGACATTAGAATTTAGCCTTAGGCCTCTTTTAAGGGAGTAAATAATGCTAACTATTAATCTTCTTGTCAATGAAGTAATTGAACCATCTTTTTTTTTTTCCTTAAGTAAGAGACTTATTGATGATTGGGAGTAAGCCTTGGAAATAGGAGTTGCAGAAGCTTTGGTTAAATTCCTTTAAACTCCCATTATGTTAACATTTTTCCAAGGGAAATTTCTACATTTGAAAAAATACATAAAACTTGCATCAAACTTTTCCCCCTGTCTCTCCCCATCCAAAATATCAGCAAATATACAATGAAAGAATCTTTCAAGAACATGAAAGAAGTAATTATGACCTAGTATGCCCTTGAACCTATTTGTTTCTAAATATTTTTCTTATGGCGTGTTTTTTCACTTTACTGGGGTTACCCACTTCAACTGGGGTTGATATAACAACTTTTGTTTTTATTTTATCAGCTTTTGAAACAAATTGAACTTAGCAGACCTTAAGGAAAAGCACTCTGTTTTATTTAGGGGGAAGGCTTTCATTTCATTCTTCTTCGCTATAGATTCTTCCCTAGATTCAAGTTAGAATTAGAAAATAGATAGGTTATAAGTGAGATTTTTTTTCTTGGACTTTCATGCACACTCAGGTTATCACAGATTTCATATTAGCCCTCGTCTGATGCTTCTGATTTGGTGAGACATGATCTCTGAGCATGAGGTAGGAGGCAGGAGTTGCAGTGCAGATGCGGCCCCTCCCTCCCTCTCTGTGTTGGACCAGCACATAGATTGTTTACTTTGGTAGTTTTATTGATGAGAATCCCTCCTAGACTGCAACACAAATGCTCAATATCTGTTGTGTTAACAGACTACAGATCGTGGAGTGGACAGGGACTTGTTGTGCCCTTAGACAGTCAGCCCTGTCAGCCTTACACTATTGAAAGCAGTATGGGAGGGCCACAGGTAAGCAGGACAATGCTAAGAGAGACCAGCTTGGGGAGGGAATGAATTACCAAAGCAGATGTTCAAAAATGTAGTGTAAATTAGTTTTCAAGAAAGATCTCACCACAGAATGAATAAGAACTAGTGTCCTATGTTTTATATTTTTTTCTCTGCCTACTTTCCCCTCTGGGTCCTTGTTGCATCCCTGCTCTTCACATCTACAGAGCATATTTGTTAAAAATTTCAAGTTTTACACTAACATTTCCTAGATATTTCCTTTGGAAAAAAAAAATTTATTTTGAATAACTTCAGATTGAAGAAAATTGGCAAAAACAAAACAAAACAAAAAAAAAACAAGAAATGGCTCTATTTTTTCACCAAGATTCCCCAATTGTTAACATCGTACCACATTTGTATTTTCATTGCCCCGCCCCTCCCTTCACCCCTCCATCTCCTCCTCTCCTTCTCATAAACAGGTGTCTTTTTTTCTGAGAGTAAGTTACAGATATAATGATACTTTACTCCTAAATACACTGATATGTATTTCCTTAAAACAAAGGCATTCTTTGCAAAATCCCAATACAAGGATCTGAATCAGGAAAATACCGTTAATGAAGTATTATTAGCTTGCCTACGCACCATATTTAGATTTTGTCAATTGTCTCACAAATGTCCTTTATAAATAAACTTCTGGTTCAAGAGCTACTCTAGTATCACATGTTTAATTTAGTTGTCATGTGGTTTTATTCTCTAATCTGGAACAATCCCTCAACTTTTCTTTGTATTTTATAACCTTGATATATTTGGAAATATAGGTCATCTGTTTTATAAAATGCTCCTTAGTCTGGGTTTGTCTGATAGTTCATCATGACTAGGTCCAGGTTATGCATTTTTAGCAAGAATACCAAAAATTATATTGTATCCTGCTTAGTACATCAGAGCAGTAAGTATGTGATATCTATATTTGACATTTACTATGGGTCTTTTTGACTTCGCAAAATATTTTAATGTACTAAAATTTATCTATCTTTTCCCTTATTATATCTGGATTCTGAGTCAAT